AGTGAAGAGTCGCACAAGGAGGCCACGGTGGACTCGCGCCGCTACGACCCACAGGATAAGAACGTCAGACACATCGGCTTTCCCCTCCAGGGGAAACACTATGATGTAGCGCATGTAGTCGTCGACAAGCACTAGAAATTGGCGCTCTCGACGCGGCCCAGGGACGGGGGCTGGGCCCCAGACGTCCAGGTGCAGGGTCTTGAGTGGCGCAGTGGTAGGGGGAAGTGAGGAGGAGTTAGGAGCACGGCGCAGCCGGCCCTTGACACAGGGCGTGCACGGCGGTGCAAGCGAGGGAGGTCGGGCAATGAGCGACGCAGAGAAACCTAAGACAAGACCGTGCTGGGACATGTCACGCAGATGTGGGAGTGCAAGGTGACCTTAGCAGTGGTGCCACAGCAGCGACGGGTGGGTGAGCGACCGACACGAGCAAGCCGCAGCGACATGGGTAAACGCAGGCACTTGGGGGGACGCCCTCACCAGGGGGGACGCAGTGTCCAGCATGAATAGGCATGACATCGGATCCCGGGGGAGAGTGTTGAGGGGGGCACTAGTGGTGGCCTCAGTACAGACCGCGTATCGCTCGTGTCTGGGGAATGTAGTGGTGACGCCGAGGTCCTGAAAACAGCCGACACCAACTAGGTTCCTGGAGAACAAGGGGATGTGCAGGGCCTATTAAAGAGCCCGAGGGAACCGCTTGACAGGGAAGGGTGGTGGAGCTACGGGCAAGTACCAGACCTGAGGAGGGGTCAGCAAGCACGACAACGACAGTAGCGGCATGCAGCGTAAGCGCAGTGTGGTCGCGGAAGACGCATCAAAGTCTAGCGTGAAAAAGAGCGCAGCGGTAGCTGCAGCCGGCGGACGGGCTACCGTGGAGCCTAGGCTAAACAAAGCAGAAGGTCCTATGCCTGAAAATGCATAGGAGCCTAGACTACACACTGGGGGCACACCTACCCTATGCAACACAGGGTAATAAGGTCCGGTCACACTAGAGACATCTGTATACAGGGCATACAAAACATAGCAAATATGATCCATATCCATCTCAAAGACCGACACACGGTGACAGACGAGACTGGGCCAGTCGAGGAGGTCCGGCGCAGGGCCGAAGCGGAGACGGAAGAGGTCGTCGAGGCGGGGGCAGCCGCGGGCGATGGTATGATCCTGACGGCCACACACAGTGCCATGAAAGGGGCCAGTCTGGAGCTGGTACTGGCAACCCACTGAGCTTAAGCTGCCAACTGACACCGAGCTGCGAGGGCCACCACCGCGGCCACCACCCCTAGAGCCGCCGAACCACCCTCGCGGGAGGCGGCTCCACTGCTGCTGCTTCTGCTGCGACTGTTATTGCTGCTGCTGCTGCTGCGACTGCTGTTGCTCCGGGGGATCAGCCACGGTCCCCTCGTCGATACTGCCAGCACTCGCACCAGCTCCACCACCACCGCCACCCCCACCACCCCTCCCTCCGCCACGCCCCCCCTTGGGGCGGTGGCCCTTACCCTGACGAGGCTGCGCTGAGGCTGCGGCGGCGGCGATCTTAGCAGCAGGGGTTGTCTCGGCGACAGCGGCAGAAACGTCAGAGTAAGTGTACTGGGAGGGAGCACAACCCTGGAAGATAGGGACCGGAGTGATACCGCTAGACTGGGCGATAGTGTGCTGGCGGGTCTCTTTTGCAAACAGGGTGGCGACAAAGGCAGTAAGGGTGAGGTCACCTGGGTGCTGACTAAGGAAGTGGTTACGGGCAACGGCGAGGTGGTCAGGAAGGCACGTGGCAATAAGGTAAAGGGTAGCGCAAAGTGGAGGAGGGAATGCAACAAGCTAGGCCTCAGTGCTATTAGCGCGGAAGCTAGTTTCAAGGGCGCGTAGGCGAGTGGCAAGCTCAATGACATTGGGGAATGATGCAAGGTCAGGGAATAGCATGGGAAGGTTCAGACGACCAGCGGAGGCGGAGGAGGGAGTGAAATAGCGCGCAATGATCGCATCTAAGTGCTCCTTCGCATTTGCTACAGCCGTAAAGCGGGGACGCTCGGACAGGGGGAGGGCGTAACTAATAGCAAGCTGCGCTACGGCGTCGCGCGATTCCCATACGGCGCGTGCAAGCTCAGCAATAGCAAAGGCCTCACGCTCAGCAGACGTGGGGGCGTCATAGAGGGCAGCAGGTGCATCGGGACGAGGGAGCTTACCATCGACATGGACAGTCAGGGAATAGCCGTCCTGGCGCTGACACGTTAATTGACGGCGGAGGTCGACGAGCCACGCCTCAAAATCAACCGTCCGACCCTCCGCATCCAGGCGGAGCACAACGTCCGCCATCACCACAGCTGTAGCGACTGATGGCGACACGGCGGCATGGCGGCACGATGACCCAGCGGCACGGTGACATGGCGGCACAGCGAGACGGTGACACGGCGCACGACGGCACGGCGACACAACGGCACGGCGGCACGGTGACACAGTGGCTCGGCGGCACGGTGACACGGCGACACGGCGGGACTAGGGCCGGCGCGAACTGGGGCCGGCAAGCTGGGGCGAGTGAGCTAGGGGCTGACGAGCGAGGGGCCGGCGAGCTAGGGGCCGTAGAGCGAGGGGGCTGCTAGCGAGAGGCTGGCGAGCTAGGGGCCGGCGAGCGTGGGGTCGGCGAGCGCGGGGCTGGCGAGCACCGGGCCAGCGAGCACGGGGCCGGGGAGCACGGGGTCAGCGAGCGCGGGGCTGGCGAGCACGGGGCCAGAGAGCACAGGGCCGGCGAGATAGGGGCCGGCGAGCACGGGGCCAGCGAGCACGGGGCCAGCGACACAGGGGCCAGCGAGCACGTGGCTAGCAAGCAAGGGGCTAGCGAGCACGTAGCCAGCAAGCGAGGGGCCAGCAAGCGAGGGGCCAGCGAGCAAGGGGCCGGCTAACGAGGGGCCGGTGAGCTAGGGGCCGGCGAACGCGGGGTCGGCGAGCACGGGGCCAACGAGCACGGGGCCGGCGAGCTAGGGGCCGGCAAGCTAGGGGCCGGCGAGCGAGGGGCCGGCAAGCTAGGGGCCGGCGAGCTAGGGGCCGGCGAACACAGGGCCAGCGAGCACGGGGCCGGCAAGCGAGGGGCCAGCGAGCGAGGGGTCGGCTAGCGAGGGGCCGGCGAGCGCGGGGACGGAGAGCGCGGGGCTGGCGAGTGCAGGGACGGCAAGCGAGGGGCCGGCGAGCACAGGGCCAGCGAGCGCGGGGTCGGCGAGCGCGGGGCCAGCGAGCGCAGGGCCAGCGAGCGAGGGGCCGGCTAGCGAGGGGCTGACAAGTGCAGGGCCAGAGAGCACGGGGCCAGCGAGCTACCGCGGCTAGAGCGGGCTAGGGCAGCTAGGGCGGGCTAGGGCGAGCTAGAGTGGCTAGTGACGGGCGGCTAGTGACGGGCAGGCGAGAGCGAGGGCTAGGGCTATGGCTAGGACTAGCGCTAGGGCGGAAGGGCCTAGCCTAGCGTGATACCATCTCAGAGTAATGAATTGACTAGAATAGAAGTTACAGGGTAGTTTTGTGCTGGTGTTATACTCTCTAAGTGCATTCACATATCTAGCCTATAATAACATATGCATGTATGTTTGACACAATCTAGGTAGTAGGTATCTTACAAAGCGTCGGCCCCAAAGGGTTATATGAGAATGCATTCTGGATTGTCCTCACCTCACCAGGCCATTTGTTCCAATTAAAACCCCACGACAAAATAGTTGAGGGGTTATCAAGTTGGGACCCCTCTTGATCTAGGCCCCTTTTGTGTCGAGGAGCTTTTTTATATTCGGAGCTGGGCAGCAGCCCGCACAATTTGATACTCAGAACTTGTCCAGTTGGCATATTTCTGCCTTGCGAATTCCGTACAGCGTGACGCGCCGTGGGCTGCACGACGTGGCACGTAATTTTGCCACGTCGAATTGGGCCCCACTTGATTTTCCCCTAACGAGCCTGCGAAAAACAGGAATATCAGAGGGGGGTCCCTCTTGAACCCCCCCTGCAGAAACCAGTGAGGCCCACGTCGCATGCGACAAATATTGCAGGGGCACTGCACGAAGCGCCAGGCTGTCAAATGTATTTCGCGTCGAGCCCACATTGATTCGTAATTTCACGCAAATAGTAGCATTTGGGCAAACCCTTTTTTTGTTTTCAGACTGTTACAAAGTTCCGGGCACTGTGACGTTTCGTTTTCTCGCCAGCTCAAGACTTAGTTTTTTTGCACCCACTCAACCATCAAGAGGGACCCCCCTCTGCTAGTTTGCCGTGAGGTTTTAATGAAGTGGTATGTAATTATTGTGACTCCGGGTACACTTAAAAACATCACACTGGGGACGATCTAGGCCCGATAGGGTACTCACACACGGGATTTACAGCACCTCACATCCTTGCTGCACCTTACTCGGGTACTCTAGCTTTAGGTTTTATCTTATTTTTCTTGCCTTTTGAACCTCCAACGCAACCCCGATTTCCAACTAATTGTGGTATCGAATAAATTTTGACGGGTATGAAACCGCGGCGCCGTCTTTGTCAGATGTTTCACCACGTACAGTAGCAGGTGCGTGTGTGGAGTGCTCGGGCCAGACCGCACGCAGCGCAGGCCAACGGCCGAGAACGAAATCGAGCACCTCGACTCGTGGGATGGCGCTCTGGTTGGCTGCTCGGTTGGGTGAACCTTGGGTGTTGTTGTGGCATGCAAGGGCTGTTTCCCCGCGGGTCGCGGCAATGCGCGGAAAGCATGCGTGTGAGTCCCCCGCATGAGCCAGGGCCTGGTGGCCACAGCCGTGGCGACCATCAGCTGGCAGCAGCACGCCGTGCCCAGCCCGGGCATGAATCCCTCCCTCCCCTCAGAGCCACTCTCCTGCGATGCGCCCGCCCCTCCCCCAGCCCCCGCCTCCGCTCGACCTAACGGGAAGGTGGGGCCAGCTGGAGCCAGGCCCACTCGTTTTGATACACTCGCAGCCATTTCTTTTCTCGTTGCCCCGCCAAGAGCGAAACGGCATCAAGGTTACCTGGCGGAGAAACTTGTGAAATCTGGTTCATGAAGGCAGTCGTAATATCAGGAACCAGTTTCTTGTTGGATGGTCGAGGTGGAATTACTGGTGTTATCGTGGTCGGGAATCGAAGCGATTCCTGGAGGTGATACCAAGGTTGGCTTGAGAATGTCGCGCAGCGCCTTGCCTTCATAGCACCTATCTCTTCGTTCTGTTGGAGGCTTTAGTCAGATAATGATCGCCCTCCTCGCCACTCTGTTGGCCTTCTGAGACCACCAGCACATTATGAAGCCTGTAGGTCTCGTTAAAAAGGCGAAGCGATTACTACTTGCTAGAGGAGTCTTCGGACTTGTGCGAACAGTCATATCGGTGTCCTTAGTTCTACTTGTCACTCAACAACTGCTTTTCATGCGCGCACGAGATCTGTTGTCGAGCGCTCCTAACGCTGGTGGTGAGTGATTTAGCAGAAGAATCGTCACCGTTATTTCAATCAATTAAACTTAGTTAAGCGCAAGCTTGCTTCCTTGGATTTCTGCAGATGGTCTATCGGGTGTGCGTTACTTTTCAGGCAACAACGGCTTATACCGTGCAAAGGTGCGTTTGCAGTTTCTGTCAGCCCGTTCTAGACAGCTTCTTTTAGACAAGTACTCGACTCGCTGAATCGCCTCGCTGCGCTGCAGATTAAATCAAGCGGCGAATCTACCCCCAGCTTACGGACCCGGCTGTCTCACGGGATGCACGCTGCTGCCGGCCACCATAACGAAAGCACGGAGCGACCAAAGCCGAGCGTCCCTAAGAGCGGCCACGGCGACGCCCGGCAGGCGTCGAGCTCGAAGCTGGTGGAGTGCTTCCTGTCCGCCAAGTCGTACCTGACGATCGCGGACGAGGTGCAGGACGAGATCCTCATGGAGCACGTCAAGCAGGAGGTTCACCGATGCCTCGGCCTTCTCGACCAGGCATACGCCGGCGGGGCACGCGACGCGATCGCAGTGCCCGACGAAGCGCGTCCGAAGCAGAAGCGGAAACGACCGCTCCGAGAAGGGAGAGCGCTGTCCAGGTACGTAGGGATAGGCTCGATAGCTCCAAATCAACCTTTTGGCTTACGTCACATGCGCCAGGGAATAAGCTTTCTCATGCGCTTGTCTTACAGATTGAAGCTGAAGCTCGAGGCAGCGGAGCAGCAGGCGAAGAACATGCTGCTGCAGAGCATGGTGTTCAGCCAGATAGCCTCTCGCGCTATTCCGCAGCCGCTACACTGTCTCTCGCTCCGGCTGACCATGGTCCACAGCACGCACCCCGAGCTGAGTAGGACGGATAGGGTTGATCCTAGGCTGTGGGACCCTGCCCTCCACCACTACGCCTTGTTCTCCGACAATGTCGTCGCCGTTGCAGTCGTCGTCAACTCAACTGCCACGAACGCGGTCAACGTAGGTGCACGGGGCATGTTTCCTTTCTCGTTTTCTCTCACCACGCTGCCAGGCTAAGCGTTGCATGGGGTGCTCGGATGCGTGCAGCCGTCGGAACATGTGTTCCACGTCATCACCGACAGGATGAACTACGCCGCCATGAAAGCCTGGTTCTTTCTCAACCCCCCACGTGGGAATATGGCTCTCGAGGTACGCCTTTAGTCCTCAAATCAAGAACGCGGTTTGCCTGCTGACCATGTAGCTCTAATCGTAATCTGGTGCTCATCTCCATTGTATGCAGGTCCGCTGCTTGGACGAGTATCCGTGGATCAACCCTGCGTACGTACCTGTGTTGAGGCAAATTGAATCCGAGGCTATGCGTGATTACTACTTCCGGGCGTCCGTGGCATCCAAAGTCGGTGCAACGCACGCCAAGGAGGACTACGTGGATCTCAAGTATCGCAACCCCAAGTACCTGTCGATCCTGAACCACCTGCGCTTCTATCTTCCGCGAATATTCCCTCAACTGGATAATATCCTGTTCCTGGATGACGACGTGGTTGTGCAGCAGGACCTGACAGACCTATGGAAGGTATTGATGGCTCCTGCCTTTTACTATTGACGCCACGCAGAGCTCTGGCCGACGTGCAGCCTTTGAGGCGCATTCTGCATGCTGAGTTTCCAGTTTGCCCCCTACCCTCAACCCCTTGTGCCTTCAGATTCCCATGAACGGCAAGGTCAACCTGGCTGTTGAAACCTGTGGGAAGGTGTTTCACCGATTCAAGACTTACCTGAACTTCTCAAGTCCCTTTTTGGCTAACTTCGATCCTGAGGGGTGCGGATGGGCTTTTGGAATGAACATGTTCAACCTGGCTGCCTGGCGGCAGGGCAACTACACTGACAAGTACCACTTCTGGCAAGACAAGGTTGGAATTACACTTTTTGGAACCGTTGATCTTATTGCTTTCTTTCCCTCTGTCTCCTGGCACTCCTGGACTGTCTCCCTGACATTCGCTGCTTTGCTGGTTGCACATCTTCCCCCCTGACTGTTTCATCTACCCCTACTGTTCCTCAGAACGAAGACCGCACGCTCTGGAAGCTGGGCACGCTTCCTCCTGGCCTGCTGACATTCTACAACGCCACTGAGCCTCTGGACAAGCGGTGGCAGGTGCTGGGCCTGGGCAGCAAGAGCACGGTGGATGTGGGGCTTGTGCAGCGGGCAGCTGTCATTCACTTCAATGGCCACGCCAAGCCATGGCTAGAACTTGCCATCCCGGTCTACCAGAGATTCTGGACGCGATATGTTCCATACGACAACCCTCTGCTCCAGCAGTGCAATTTCAGAGCGCCCAATGCTGCTGCTGCTGACTAGCGGTACTGACAGCCATGACTTGCTACTAACTCCTAACCTTGGTCTAACAGGTAGCTGTAGGTTCTTAGTTTTGAGGACGTGTTCAGTGCTGGGTGGAAACATGGCCACAATTGCTGTCACAGTTGTAGGTATGCCAGCTGAAGCTGACACTCCTTGCCTGGGTTGACTGCTGCTTGCGACCAGGCTGTTACTACCTCACATTCATTCTCTGAGAAGTGTCGTGGCACTGGGATAAACCCGTCGATCCACTCTCTATCTCTAGGCAGGGTACTGGGGGGAGGCTTTCCTCGGGGAAGGTGGATATATAGAGCCTAACCCTCCGGATGATATCTCTTCTTGTCCTAGTAGTGGTTAGGACTGCTGACGTCATGACCAGGGCCTCAGATTGGTTTTAAGGTACCCTGATTGCTTAGGGTCCCCTTGTTGGAATGCAAGAATAACTAGAATGTGAGGATACAAGGCAACATAGGCTAGAGTGTTGTACCCTTTAAGGCACAAACCTATATAGTCTACAACCACACACTATGTTATATTAGACACACCCCCTATGTCAAACATATGTATCTCTTATGCTTTGCATAGACTGTATAGGGTCGCCTCTTAGAGGGTACAACACTTAGATATATTCCCTGTACTCTCTCTCTCTATCATCATTCATTCCGTTTTGAGATGGTATCAGCAGTAGGTAGGTCCCGCCCATCCGCGCTTCCGCTCTAGGACCTACCCGCCCTAGTCGCGCCCGCCCTAGTAGCGCCCGTCCTAGCCGGCCCAGTGCCCGCCCTAGCGCCCCGCCCTAGCGGCCCCTCGTGCCTGTCCCCGGGATCGCCCTAGCAGCCCCTCGTGCCCGCCCTCTCGGCCCCACGCCCGTGCCCGCCCTAGCGGCCCCTTCGCCCGTGCCCGCCCTAGCGCCCGTCCTAGCCGGCCCCGTGCCCGCCATAGCGCCCCGCCCTAGCGGCCCCTCGTACCCAGACCCCCTGCTGTGCCGCCCGCTGACCCCACACCCGCTGAGCGCGAGTCTACTGCAGCCGCTGCCCTTGCGCGCTCTGTCTGGCTTTCCCGAGACGCTGTCGCCCAGCTTGCCATTAGCAATGCCCTTCCCCCGTCTTAGCGCCCTCGCTTTAGGTCCATCACTACCGCCCAGGCTTTCTTAGATGCTGTCATCAAGCGCTATTCCACCCCTCCTGCTGCCTCGGTGGGTCGCCTGATCCTCCTGATTCTCTTTCCTGACCTTGCGTCCTTCCCCACTGTCGCTCACCTGGCTGCCCACCTGCGCACGATAGATGAGACCTGGCGAGCGGCCTACACTGACGCACAGCTTAGAGCCCACCAGCCGCCCATTACTTCTACCCTCTACCTGCTTGCCACCCGCCTCCCTGACCGCCTTGCCGCCGCCCGCGACCGCTTCCTTAGCATCCACCCCGGTGAGCTTACCCTCACCGACTTTGTAGACACCCTGACTGTTATTGAGACCCGTCACCGCTCCATCGCCCAGGCGAGCAGTACTGTGCCGGTCCCTATCTTCCAGGGTTGTGCCCCCGCTCAGTGTACCTTCTTCGACGGTTCTGCCGCTGTGGCTGAGACTGCGGCTGCCGCGCAGTTCCGTCCGGGGAAGGGTCGCCGCCCCAAGGCTGGGCGCGGCGGAGGAGGCGGGGGTGCAGGTGGGGGTGGTGGTGGAGTCGGGTCGTCTGGTGCTGGAGCGGACGAGGGGACCCTGCCCGGTCCAGCTGCGCAGCCGCTTCCGCAGTCGCCGCAGCAGTCGCACCAGCCACAGCAGCCGCATCAGCCGACGCAGACGAGGCAGGCGAGTGTCCTCCCGCCCGGGTGGCCTGGCGCTGGAGGAGGTCGTGCGCATGGTGGTGTGCCGGGTGGTAGTTCGGGAGGCATGCGTTGCCAGTACCAGATCCAGACCGGTCCTCGCCGCGACTTCGTTTGCGGTAAGATCGGTCATACCACTCCTCGCTATTTTCGTCGCCTGGACGACCTGTTTCGTCAGCGCTTCGGCCCGTCAGACCTCTCGGACTATCACAGTTTGCTTAGTCGTAGTATTCAGATTTTTGACATGGACATGGATGCCATTGTTTCTGCACTGCATGTGATGTATGCTGATGACTCTAGTGTGCTTCCCGCTTATTACTCACTGTCGTCTAGTGTAGGTGTGTCTAGCTTAGCCTCCCCTGCTGCGTCAGGCGTAGGAGCCCCTGCTTTGTTTAGCCTTGGTGCCTCCGCCGTCGCCCCGTCGCCGGACGCCACTGCTTCGCTTTCCTTCACCTTGGACTCTGGCGCTTCCCGGTGCTTCTTCCGCGACTTCACTACACTGACGCCGCTTCCAGTTCCTGCTGCCGTTCCTCTTGCTGACCCCTCCGGAGGTCCGGTAGTCGCCCGCAGTTCCACCACCCTTCCCTGTCCGGCGGTTCCTTCGGGCTCTCTCACAGGTTTGCATATCCCCTCGTTCTCCAGGAACCTAGTTGGTGTCGGCTGCCTCCAGGACCTTGGCGTCACCACTACGTTCCCTGGTTACGAGCGGTATGCTGTCTGTACCGAGGCTGCCATAGGTGCCCCCCTGTCCACGATCCCCCAGGACCCGGTGTCCGGCCTGTTCACCCTGGACACCGTGACCCCCCCGGCTGGGGCGCCCCTTCAGGTGGCTGCGTCTACCCAGGTTGCTGCTGCCTGCTCCTGTCGGTCCCTCACTCACCCGACTCTCCTTTGGCACCACCGCCTAGGTCACCCTGCCCTCCCGCGTCTGCGTCACATGTCCCAGCACGGTCTCATCCTTGGTCTCCCTGGTTCTCTCCCCGCTTTTCCCTCCTCCCCTGCCCCACCTTGCACGCCTTGTGTTGAGGGTCGGCTTCGCCGTGCGCTCACTCCTCCTCGTTTCCCCCTACCGCCGCGCCACTGCAGACCCTGCACATGGACGTCTGGGGCCCTGCCCCCGTCCATGGGCCGCGTCGAGAGTGCTACTTCCTCCTGCATGTCGACGAGTTCACTCGCTACACTACAGTCTTTCCCCTGGAGCAGAAGGCCGACGTGCCTGACGCTCTCATCCCCTGGCTTGTCTCTGCGCGTGTCCACCGAGGTCTCCCTGTCTTGCGTCTTCACTCCGACCGTGGTGGCGAGTTTGCCTCAGGTATCCTTGGTCGCTTCTGTCGTGCGGAGGGCATCACCAAGACGTTCACCCTGCCGGACTCCCCACAGCAAAATGGGGTCGCTGAGCGACGCATCGGCTTGGTCATGGAGGTTGCTCGCACCTCCATGATCCATGTCGGTGCACCCCATTTTCTGTGGCCGTTCGCCGTGCGCTACGCTTCTCACCAGCTTAACCTGTGGCCACACCCCCAGCAGCCGCAGGTTTCTACTGTCGCTTCCCCCACCGCGGCCCCCCGGTTACCCCCCCCTGTTCCTGGTCACTCCTTCCCGGGTGGTCCCTGCCCCCCCCCCTCCCCCTCCCCGTCCTGCCCCCTCTGGTGTGTCCCACGTCACTCCTCTCCCGTCGGTTGTCCCGGTTGAGGGGTCTTCTAACATTGGTGGTCCTGCGGCGCAGTCCTCGCCGTCTGCCCCTCCCCAGGCGTCTCCTCCTCCACCGCCTCTGCAGCCGCTGTCGCGTCTGCTGTCACCGTCGTCGTCCCCGCAGCTGCCGCCACCGTCGCAGCAGCCGTTCGTTGCCTCTGGGGGTGCTGGCGTTGGAGTGGGTCCTAGCCCCGGTGGTCCTGGGGGTGGTGCCGGTGCCCGAGGAGTTTCGGGCCCTGGGAGTGTTCCTTCTGGGGGTGTTGGAGTGGAGTCTTCCGGTGGTACCCGAGGAGCAGCTTGCGGTCCCGGTGTCGGCGTTGTGCCGCCGCAGCCCCAGTCCCCGCCGGTGTCTGCCCTTCGCCTGCTCGGCCTTCCGTTCCCTGACCCTGTGTCTGTTCCTCTCCTCTCGTCTCCTCCTCTTCTCGTTTACGGCCCTATGTTCCCTCCGCCGGACTCGTCCCCGGCTCGTCTTCCCCCTCGCTCTCCCCTTGTGTCCCCTCCTTTGTCTCCTGACCCGACTCCTCCGTCTCACGTCTGGTCTCGCCGTCCCTCCCGTGCTCGTCCTGTCTCCCCTGTCACGCGCTCTCACCCTATGTTGCTTCGTTCCCACGCGTCTCATCCTCCCCTTCTCCCATCCCCTCCTCCGTCCTCCCTTGTCGTTTCTCCCCCCCCTCTGTCTGGCTACCTTCGTGCCGCCCGTCCTCTCGTTCCTCGAGTCCTTGCCTCTCTCGTTACCGACCCGTCTGTTCCGGTCTCGTGCCTTGGCGCTCTTGTCGCTGCGGTCGCTGACTTCGCCTCTACCCGCCGCCTTGACTACGCCACCGCTCTGGTCTCTGACCCTGCCTGTCCTCCGTCTGTCAGGGGTGCTCCTGCCCTGGGCAGTGACGTCCTGGAGGACCGCCAGTTCGAGCTTGCTATCCTGTCCGAGGCTGCTCCCCATCTCTGTTCCATGCTGCTAGTCCCTGAGGGTGACCCAGACGCTTTCGATATCCCGACCCCTCGCACTTACGCTGAGGCGACCTCGGAACCCTGGGCCTCCCAGTGGGTAGCTGCCATGGAGCAGGAGATGGCACCGGCACCTTCGTCGACGCAGTTCCCCCACCTTGGGTGAACATAGTCGATGGCCGCTGGCTCTTCAAGGTGAAGCGCCCTCCTGGAGAGCCGCCTGCGTTCAAGGCGTGCTACGTGGCTAGAGGTTTCAGTCAGCGTGAGGGGGTGGACTTCTTCCAGACCTTCGCTCCGACCCCGAAGATGAATACTCTTCGGGTTCTGCTACACTTAGCAGCTCAGCGTGACTACGAGCTTCACTCCCTCGACTTCTCCACTGTCTTCCTTCAAGGCAGCCTACACGAGCAGGTCTACCTGCGTCGCCCTCAAGGCTTTACTGGCACCTTCCGTCCTGGGACCCAGTGGCTCCTGCGGCGTCCCGTCTACGGCCTGCGGCAGGCTCCCCGTGAGTGGCACGACACGCTGCGTGCTACTCTTACTGACCTTCAGTTCTTTCCGTCCTCGGCAGACCCCTCACTCTTCGTTCGTGCTGGCCAGACTCCGTTTTACATCCTTGTGTACGTGGACGATCTGGTCTTAGCCACAGCAGACAGGGACGCACTGGCCTCCGTGAAGGCAGAGCTGCTGAAGAGACACACTTGCACTGACCTTGGAGAACTGCGCCGTTACCTTGGCTTGCAGATCTCCAGGGACAGAGCAGCGTGCACCATCACCTTGACTCAGTCACACTTGGTGCGCCAGGTCCTTCAGAGGTTCGGCCTTCAGTTCTCCTCTGCACAGCCCACCCTTCTGCCTCTAGCCCACAGACTCTCTGCTCTTGTTCCTGAGGAGTCAGTAGAGCCCAGTGGTCCTTACGCAGAGCTGGTGG